GCTGCTGCTGCTGCTGCTGCCAGGGCTGCTGCTAATGCTACCAGCAGCAGCAGCGACAGCAGCAGTAGTAAGCAGTAGCCTTTGTCATTGTTGTTGTTGTTGTTGCTGCTGCTGTTGCTGCTGGTGGATGTTGTTGGGGTTGTTGTCGCCGGTGGTGATGATGGTGGTGGTGGTGCCCGATGGCCGATGCCGCTCTGCTTGCCCCTTGCAGGTCGGCGATGGCATTAGTGACCGTTGGTCTTGCACACATTCGCCCTGACATATCAATCTTACTTGTTGTCATGGTTGCCATGACAACCAGTACGACTCACATTATAACGAATCATGAATGTGCTGATGATTACTATGATTCTTCACATTTGCGTTCCTGCCAGTATTATGATAACTACTTACTATTACTACCGTTACTCATTTCTTCCGCAAGTGCAATTACGGCCGCGGTGCAGATCTACTCAGTGGCTGAGCACACGGCCTGGCATTGCCATGGCATGGAACGCTTGGGCTGTCATGCTGCCGGTCTTTGGGGGTACACCCGGCTCTTCTTGCAGCGCTGGCGAGGTATGATAGGGGCTTAGCTGATAGAGCTTGCAAAGATCTCGAGGGTTAGTTCTCAGAACAAAGGTTTTTTTGTATAATATAAAGGAGCCATATCAAAAAAAAAGATACCCTATGGGAATAACAACATTAAGATTTATTCAGGCTTCTATATTGACCCAGTTTTGATAGAAACAGAGAAAGGAAGGCTCGAGTTTGCGCTAAAGAGCCGCCGAACAAGCTAGCATATAAAAACTAGGCAAACGCACAAGAGAGGTGGCGCCATTCGCTTGGGCCTGAAGCTGCGTGCGGCTTGTCAGGCTTGAAAGTCTTGCTCTTAGTCAACGGTCCTCCATGCACTTTGCAGATATATAATAAAATAGCATAATGTTCTCTAACATGGCATGTTGGACTAATATGATCATATAACAGAACAAAAAGAACATAGTAAAATATCATAGGAGCAAACGTGTGCCCTGATGCAACTCTAAGATGTGGTCAGGATGTGAAACTCTGGAAGGCTGGCGGCACCTCATCTGGCTTGAAACACCAGTCTCGCACCGCCTCTGCAAAGGGACGGATTCTGGGTGCTTCCCTTCGCGCAGCACTCCAAAAGAGATTCTTCGTTTCGGAACTGACCCGTGACTCCTCCACCTCCTTTGCATAGCGCCATGCAAAGTTGTTCACTCCGAAAGCCCTGCAATGGGCTTCGACGGCTAGGCGAACGTAGTCGATATTGTCAGCTCCAGCCAAATTGGAACTCTCTGCTTTGCATAATGCGGCCTGCATGGCGTAGACAACCAAAGCTTCATCAAAAGGCGGGCAGTGATGGCAACTAAAGGCTGCATTCTGCCGCCAAACCTGGAAGGCGCTCTCCCACTCCTGCATCTGCATGAAAGCCAGGGCCTGGACGACACGAAGTTCCTGAGCATCCTTCCCGAGCAGGACAACTTTGGGGGCCTTTGCCTCATGCTCAGACACGTCCTTCTCACGGGAGTGCGCCGAAGCAACTTCAACCTCTTCCACGGCCTCCTCCTCCTCCTCAGGCTCCTCGGCCTCGTCCAAGTGTCCCTCCAAGGCCGCGGCCACAGCGCGGACTCGCTCCTTGGGCGGCAGGAGTGCCAGATTGGCCTGGACTTGGGCATCGACTCGCATAAAGTTCCTTTCAACGGCCGCTTCTTCCGGCACGCCTTCTTGCTTGTGGCATCGAGTGCAAGCACAAACGAAGTCACGATTCAGCGACTGACTCCGCAAAGACTTGGGTGCACAGAGCAACTCGGACTCGATGTAGCTGATACACAGCTCGGACCCAGCTGCCACCGGCTGATTCGTCACAAAAGCTGTCAGATCTCCGAAGGAGCAGCGCTGCAGCGAGGGCTCGCAGGAATGGTTGAAGCCGCTGGCCAAGGCGAAGAGCCCATTGCCTGTGAGCGCTGCGAAGTTTTCGTGGTGGCAAAGCTGCTCCGAGTTGGTGTAGAAACCTAGAGAATTCAAGCGGACGACGTCCTCCAGACGTTTTCGGGCCCCTTCGGAGATATCCACTGGCTTCCAGGCAGTGTTCAGTGCCGTTCTCATGGCATCTCTGAGAATCGGCTCCTCCTCTTCGTCTGAATCGGCGTCATTTGCCTGCACGGCCTCCTGTGGGTGAAAGCCAGACAGGAGTGAAGCCAAGCTTGAAGAGTAGCATCGTGCGAGCTCGACGCTTAAAGCTGCAGAGTCGGAACTGCCACATTCTGCCCAGCTCTCGTCGCGCCATTCTCCGTCAAGCACTGCTACTAAAGGCCGCTCAATGAGGACCATGACACCCGTATCCAAAGGCTCGGTGGCATACCATCCCCGCCCTTTGCCAGTTGATGCTTGCATAGCAATAGAAGACGAGACAAGGAAGGATGGCGGTGGCGTAGAGGCCGAAGCCTCCGAAGCCTTCCCCGCGGGCAAGTTCGAAGCCTCCCAGATCGATTGCTTCCAGGCCGAGCCAGAGGCCGAGCCAGGGTCTCGAAGCTGCAGCGGCACGGCACCTGCCACTTTCCGAAGCGTTAGCTGGTTGGCCCAAAGTCGTGGGGACATCAAAGAATCGAGTCCCTGTTGAAGCTTCTCCCAGTCAACCGAGGTAGCCACATCTGCGCATCGCCAGCCCCAGAAGTCATCACAATCCACGGGGGTTCGCTTCAGCCTCTTTGCTTTCTGGGCCTTCTGTTTGCCACGCATGGCCTATTCCATGCCAATCGAACCAACGGCGTCGGACGGGAATTCTGGCTTAAAGTGCTTGGTATGATCTGGTCAGAGCGCTACGAATGAGAGTACGAGCCATGGAGGCACTTGCAAGGTGTTGCTGCATGATGCTATCGTTCTTGAGCCAACGAGGGGATTTTCGACTCTCGCAACTGGAAAGGGTCCAAACTAGTCTGGGCGGTACATTATCGCCACTACATACGAGTGTCCAGGCTGAGGGTTTTGTTGCCTCCCGTTTGGATTTAAAGGTTCAGGTGGGCTGCGGATGGGATTTGACTGACCGATAGCATCCCGTGACCAGACAACGTGGAATCACCACCCTCACATAATACGTAAGCTGATGGTTGCTATCGTTGTTACTAGCTTTCGCAGCTTCCGTGTCGTACTTTTCCGATGACTTATGACTACTGTTGATGCAACTGTAGTAGCCAACAAGGTTGCATATACATATATATAGTATAAAGTAGTTCTTGTATAATAGCCATTTCGACTCACACACCAGCGCAAGGCAGGCTTGGCTTCTAATAGCCATTTAATATTATGCACTCTCCGTGGTATATCAGCCGACAGGGCCCTGGCGCGAGTTCCACACGCATCTCTGCAGCCTCACTCTGCGATTTGCAGAGGAAGTGCTTCGATGCTCAGGAACAGTTTAAGATCTTTCCTGTTGCACCGCGCATCTGGATGCTGGGCCCGATTAGGTTTCAAGGGCTGCAGGGTTGAGGGAGTTGAGGGCCCACATCAGGGTCAAATCAATCATGGGCTGCACGATCTCACTCTCGAACCAGTTCTGATTTAACGTAATGTCGTTGGACTCTCACAACTCGGGCAGGGTCTGCACGAGTTGTTAGCTATTGATGAGGTTGAACTCGCGGAGGGTTCAACTATGCCGACCACAGCAGTATATGTCTAGCGAGACTCGAATCGTCATAGGAAGGCCGTCCCACTGATTCCCACCTCGTCCTCGCTGTAGCCCAAATCGATCAACTGCTGCTTCTCCTGGCGGGCTTCGGTGTTGGTTTTGAGGGATGCTGCAGGACCCACCTCGACTTCCCATGACACGAGGAGCATGCAAACACAAACACAGAGAGAGAGAGAGAGAGAGAGAGAGAGAGAGACGGACAGACACACAAAAACCCACAACTACATGCCGATTCTCCACAGACTTCCCCCACGAGCACCTCCGCGCTGAGCATGAGCTTCACGGAAGTCCGGCCTGTCAGGCATCTGCAACTGTGCATACCCAGGATCTGTTACAGGGCGGAGTCTGACAAAATCATGGCCAACAGTCTCCAGCACGTTGCCTGTAAAGAGACGCACGATGCGGCAACCTCCCGAATGATCAGCCGCAATCTGCTAAAGCAGTACTAAAGGGGCCTGAAGTACTTGGAATAGGTTTTGGCGCATATAAACATATACAAGGTTTGAGCCTGCAAGGGGATGCTGCTGGTGACTACAAGCAGGAGCTACAGTATTCAGGCTTTTATATTAATTTATATGGGTGGATTGCTGGCAAACCCTGGCGAAGCCTTCCTCGACCGCCGGCCGAGCCACTGAGAAGGTCGGCGCAACTTGGTGCGTTGCGAGATGCATGATGCATCATATTAAGGCTTATATACCCCTTATATAGTCTCATAAAGCCTCTATATAACCTCAAGGGTTTCTTTTTAAGGGTCTCTCCTTCAGTCCCTTGATCATAGAGAAGCGGGCTTCGGGGAGGTTCGAGGTCTCATGCTTGGCATCCTGGTCCAAGTGGCCCTGTCCATGTTTCTTCTCTCAAACCACCCTTTGGCTTGCAGTTGGCTATGATGGTGCTGCTAGTCGTTGACTTGCTTCCGCGCGGCAGCATCGCACCAGCCTCGGTAAGCTTGGGAAAGTGTCTTGCTTTGTGGTGTACTTGGCCATTAGCCTTCGCTTTTTGATGGAAGCAACTGCAGGCAGGATGCCCGACCACTAGCAGCGCTAACCCCACGTGTCGTCGGCGAGGAGACGCCATGATTGGCGCAAGCCACTTCTACAGTATTGTATCAGGCTGTTGGTGGAGTCTTCTTGCTGCCTTTTTCATATGGGCAAGGATGGACTCTAAGCGCGCGCATCTGAGTTCAGGCTCCGATAGTGCTGTAGTTCTTGGGTGGGCCTGCTGTGCAACTCGGACAACTTGGACTGGACATGTTGCTAAGTGTCAGGGAGCAGTAGGTGTCTGCACTGCAAGCCAATAGAGCAGCAGTCGCAGACATTGAAGTCGGGCTTGGATCACCTCCGGTCGACCGACGCGCCTGAGGGCCTTTTCAATCGAACCGGTTGCCTCTGGCAAGTGTTGCAAGGCCTTGTGGCACTGCGCCGTGACAGTCACTGTACTCCGGCGAAGAAGGAAGCAATGACAACGGATTTCCGCAACCCAGCTCCTCCGTTTAATGACCAACGGGAATTCATCTCTTCCTCGATATGGCGCAAACGAGTTGTTCACCACTGTTCTTTGAGACCTGAGCCTATGTCGGTAAAGCAAATCAACCAGAAGAGCCCAAGCTTGGGCAACAAGCTTGAACTGGTCGTTTACATGCGTTGCTGGCCAGGAGGTGCGATGCCGCCCCGGACTCCAGGGGCCATCTTGCAGATCGCGCATCCTCGGCTGCGTGGGGATAATAATCATGTTACTAACATTCGTACTAATTTTGTAGTAGTGAGAGTAATATATTCAAATGATAGTAGTAAGTTCCTTTCCCGAGTCTGTATTGCAGGTTGCAAAAAAGTAGATCCTAGACCCATGAAATATGCACTTGCAGGGAACCCTGACGACTGATTGCCGAACGAGTGGCCGCAGGCACCGCAGCCGATCCTCCAGGAATAAGTGATGGTTCGGGTTTAATTGGCATTTACTTCAGGAAACTCAGGTGAGCTTCAAGAGGATGCGACAGGTTGCAATGGGAAACGTGCATTGACCGATTTCTTTACACTCCTTGCACCGAAAAAGAATGAGTTCCAGTCGTCTTGAGGCGTGGTGCTTCCTACAATTAGTATAAATTATAACGCATGGCGTCGTAATCGTATGATTTTTCGTCCGGCATAGGGCTTATCTCTGTCTTGGGCCCCTAGGTCCACGGCCACATGTTTAATGCGACTCACTTGGAAGACTTGGCCGGCTCTTGAAGAAAAGCAGAACCGCAAGAGGTTGACGAGATTGGATCTTCGACACCAGAGAACGAGAGCCATGCTCTAAGGCTCACGAGCAGAGAAGACCGCGCACACGGGATTTATACGGATACGTGGCAAGTCGTAGCAATACTGTTCGAAGCGTAATTGCTTGAATCTCACCATCTTTAAGCTTTAGCAACTGAAAAGGCTTAATGACGTCAGCAGCCTTCAAAGAGTCACCTCCGACCGCTTACACCGCACCTTCACCAACTTGAGCAGGTTTCGGGAGGCTTGACAACAGCATTCTCGCATGTCTCGGGTTCACCGGAGGCTGGACACCCGGATGGAAAGACTGAACCTCCTGGTGGGCGGCAAGTTGGCGCGGCAGACGAAGCACAACGCCTGAGACCGTGTGATGTGCTTTCTCGTTGTTCCCTGCAGGTGAAGGGAGGAGTCGATCATGGTGGCTTTGACTTCGAGGGGTTTGTACCTCCTCGCACCTGGCATTGGAGGGGAATGACCGGCAGCATCGCGGATCTAGTGTAGTGTTACCGACCCTACCTGACAGGGCGAGCAAAGTGCCCAACGACAAGTCGTAGGAAACGTAACAATGCCCCTTGTATTCCCCCGGTCTCTCTAGGCATCTCGCTCTGACTCTCTTGCTTGCTTGCGGGGTGTTTGAGGCCAGGGGGTAACCCCTGAACCCCTGCGCGCATGCGCACTCTCTTTCTTTCAGCAGGGCTAGAGGCAGAGGGGTTGCCCCCCATGCGCACTCTCTCTCTCTCTCTCTTCCCCTTCGCCTCTGTATGTATGCATTTCTCGACCTTTGCTACTTGCACTTATACACATAAGCCGAAAGCTTCAGGCTTAAAACTTAGTTTCTGTGCTTCCACGGAGCCGAACAGTATACAACAGCACTTCTGCAGGTACAGTCTATGTATCCTCACTGCATCTCCCAGAGAACAAGTGAACCAACCAGCACTCTGAAGTGCAGCTTTGCACCTTGGCGTTGTGATGACCTCGGCACTACATGTCTGCAAGCGACCGCTATCGGCTCCCTGCTGCACGACCCAAAACGTGAGTGCTGCACACACCAAAGCCAACCCTGAACCGGATGGGAAAAGGTGTAGGCAGGTATTGTTACGAACACCAATGGCCAGGCTCAGGGCAAATGCCGGCATTTGTCCAAATTCCGTCGGTGGTATCTTTCACCTGGTGTTGCCGGAAATCAACCCCATCGGCTTGCAAAATACATCCACAACACATTTCACATGTGGACAAGGTTTACTCCAAAAGGCCACTTCTGCAGTCACGGTGAGTTGCGGCTGGCCTCGGCGCAGAGGAACTTGGTGTCATTGAAGCATAGCCTCGTGCGGCTGGGACTTTGAGAACATTTTGGATCCGGATTCGCTCACCATGCTAGGCTTCCCCGGTCGCCAGGCAGACCTAGCCAGGACCTTCAGCCTCTGCCGAGACACCTTCTGCGACCGCTGGAGAAGAAGTGTCGAAGGGAGGCTTCGCGGCTGCACGAGGGTTTCGCTGCTAGCGTTCCAAGGATGAAGTGCATGCAAGGCGCGGACTGGCTGGTCCACAACCTGTTCCTGGCCAGGACGTGGAACATGGCATTCGCTTACGAGGATGCTGCTCGAAGGGCTGAACCATGTCTGCTACAAGTAACGGTTCCTAGACTGACGGGCATCCAAAGGACTTCAGCTTCATGTACCTTTGGCACATGCCCGACTCACTAGTCGTTTCTATGAGAACTCCAGTTGCTGCACTTCGTGGTCGGACCCCACCGGCATACGCTTGTCCGCAACCACCAACTTTTCTCGTGGCCCCGTTCCGCCTCCGCAGAGACAGTAGTAGCACCAGAACACCTGCGAGCTTCTGCCCAGACGAACAAACCCAGTTTCTACCGAGTCACATAGTGGTGAACGGGCTTGTTTCCCTGCGTGTTGAGCGCTCGCTATCTCTCTCTCTCTCTCTTTCTCTTGCTCGCAAAGTAAGTTCATGTTGCGTCTCATGGAGATGCCGTCACGGCCAATGTCCGCATGCAGAATCACTGCTTTCAATCAATTTTAGTCCGTGGCCGTCTGCCCCTTGCAAGTGGGCGCACTTCTCGTCTTTCTATCTTCCCTTTTCTTGTTGCTACCAGTTTCTTTCTTCTCTGGGGTGCGTGCGCCGTGTCACAGGCGTCATTGCAGTTACAAAAGGGTCCTTGCACAAGGTGGGAAACATGATCTTGGAGAACCACATGTTCACTTGTGGTCTGCTGTCATCGGGGTGGCTTTGAACTCCGTGCCACCAGAGGCTAAAGCGACACTGCAAAATCATGTGGATGATGCAAACCGTGGTGGTCCGTCAAGTCTCCTCAACAAGGTCATGTATGCTCGCATGAAGAAGACGTTTGACAAGAAGTTCATGCGGTTCTACTTTTCCGTGCACCCTTCCATGGAGGGCATCCTGGACATCGGAATGGCAGCCTTGACCAAGGTTGGTGGCCAGGAGAAATATAGCACTGCTCCGAAGTCCAGCTTGGAGCGGGACATTCAGGCTAAGCTTGACGCTTTGAACTAGGTGTGGGTCCCTTTGTCACCTGCCCGCTACGGTGCTACAGGCGTTTGTGAGTGTTCTGGTGGGGACTGTAGTGTAGTGTGGCAGTTCTGACTGCAAGGGCCGTGCTTTCTTTTCTCAGTGAAAGACTGAGCAGGGGTCGCAAGCTTTTGACTCTTGCCGGTCAGTATCCAGAAGTGGTGCTGCGCTACGTTGTGTTCGTCTCACATGAACACGAGTGCGGAGTGATGATGATGACAAAAGGGTCCTTCGGGATCTCCCTTCTTCTTCGCCGTAGGCGGAGGGGGCAGTGCCCGACCCCTGCGCGATTCCGCGCCCTTGCCTGTGGGCCCATGCATCTCTCCCACTGTCTACATGCAAATTTTGTGCAAGCAGCTGCTTCTCTTACGGCGCAAAGTCCTCCTCCTTGCCTAGCTCTGCTCACGCTAAGCCTGCCTCCTGCATGAAGGCAGACTCCCGATCGTCAACCAGACGACCCTCGCCGTAGGGGCGGCCCAGAATGAAGACGCCCTTTGCAGGGAAGTTAGGATGCGCACTTGCGGAATGAAGCAGGCACTTGATTTGTTCTGTTTTGTGTGGATCGAGCAGTTGGCGAGAAGGTCTGCAGGACACGGTGTCTGGATACGCTTGTGGCCCGCAAGTCTATCTATATACAAAAAAATATATATATATATATATGGCTATATGGCAGTCGGATGCACTCGAGCGGGACATTTGTGTTGTGGGTGTTCGTCTGGCTGCCCAATAAGAAACACATGCATTGCTTGTATTGTAGTGCATCAACAAGTAACAAGCCCTTGGGGGCAGAACGGCATTTTGAGCCCAGGCCCGGGTGTTCCCCAATACTTCCCATACTGCGCGATGCCTAACAAACACAATCACTGCACGGAGATAGCGACCGGCTGGACGGCAAATACAGATGGTGCGCACCTGCTTTTCAGGACAAACGACTGCGCAGCAGGATTCATGTCCCTTGACTTGGCCAGGATGTTGCAATCATGGTATGTTGCAGCCTATCCGAACCCTTTTAGCTGTCGTTCCATCTATTTAGGCTAGTTACAGGAGTGGATGCCGGACAGGCCTCAATGAACCGACTGCTCCTTGCATGCCGAGCAGCACAGCAGCCTATGGCCATGTTGTTCAGGGAGCACGACTGACACAAAATTCACGCAAAGCCGGGATCAGGGAATCGACTCGACTCTTGAAACTTTAGGCTTTCTCTTAGCCACACGAAACAAACCTTTGCAGCAAAGATACCCATGAATGCGTCTCGCATAGCAGGTCACAGAACCGCGATCATCTACTAATGACTTCGTCGCTTGCTCCGCCAAATCATCCCAGCTTGGATAGCGCTTGATGCCATCCGGCCTGAATGCAGCAGCACGCCTTCGCAAGCGAGGTCAGGCATCCCTGCAGCAGCACTCAGGCTCAAGAACTGATAAAATGGCTGTTGACAGGAGCACCGCTGGTACTGCACAGCCTTCTGGCCAACACAATCCTCGCCAGATGTAGTGCCGCCGGACATGCAGCAGCACCTCATCTACAAGAGCTGACATTTCCGGATTTTCCTTTGAAATTCTTGGACGGCCGGCCAAAATGGCAGTGCATCATTCCGGAAAACATGTGACTGAGCAAGTTTGCACGGGCACTTGTGCTTGTCGATGCAGCATGGGTCGTCACACGATGTGCAGGAAAGGCCCCAGCAGCAACCTTAATTGCGGCAACACTAAGACCTGTGCTCGCTGCTTGTGCAAGACATCACTGTCATTGCTTGTATTGAGGTCCATCACACCTACATTGAACGGCCGACATGGCATCTTGTAAGCGTTGTGCTCAACCCTCCGGGGAATGCAACTGCAAACCGTGCTGCAAAACCAAGTCTGAGTCTAACCCAGTCGCAGCTCAGCAGGTGACAGGACTTGTCTTCGATCTCTGCGAACTGCGCTTCAAACGCCATGGCTCTTGTGGTCTGTCCCTCACTGCTAAACAATGAAGCTTCATCTGCCAAATAAATAGAAATGCCGACTCTCTGTTGCCTACAACCTGCACTGGACATGTTGACCAAATTCAAAAGCAGGTTTGGCGAATGCTGGATATGCAATGAAGCCGGGATCCCCAAACCGCTCATTGCGGCCTACGAACTAAAACTCGAAGCGTACAGTGGGTTGTGGCAGATTTCAAAAGCGGACGGCTGGAACCATCTTCTCACCTTCCCGAAGCTCGCATGCTAGGTGTAGCTGTGCGGGTGTGTGAATGTACGGATGCATGTACGTCTGTAAGCGTATATATACACATGCTTACATGTTTGCATACATATACGCGCATGCGTGTGTGTGTGTGTGTGTCTTTGTATGTATGTATGTATGCATGCATGTATGCATGCATGCATGCATGCGTGCATGCATGTATGTAATTATGTATGTATACATGTGCACATGTGTATGTGTCTATATATATATAACCTCATGCATGTGTACGGCTATCTTACGTTGTTCAGGAAGACAACAGCCACATCTTCAACCAATGATATGGCAAGTACCCGCTGAAGAATGATATGCACGTGATCTCACACAGTTTTGTTTTGTATATTCACATCTCTTCCTATCAGTGAAGCCTCGGTCTCCCGAGGGTGCCTTCATGGCAGTGCCCCTGACTTACCCACGTTCCTAGGATCCAGGTGCGAGACGTCCAGGTGGTCTTGCAAGAGAGGAGGTGGGTGCTGCATGGTTTGCCTGAACGAGATCGGAATGGATCTGTAGTTGGGCAAAAAATAGACGCGAAGAAAAGAATGATGGTCCTCGTCATGAGTAGCCACCAGCAGTTGCAGTTGTTATACTGTGGTAATGCTGATCTGACTGGTTATTAAGTTATTCAGTTGTTGCAGGTATTTGGGGTGAGGGCTCCTCAAGATGCCGAACAGACTCCTCAAGAGCCCTGCTCAAACCAAGCCGGCGCACGGATAGGGCAGTCCGTCGAAAAGCCAGAAGCCACCATCGACCTGCGAGTTGCGGGTGTCGACTCTCACTCTCGCACAAGCAAGGCCCCGCACAAATCCGTCACGCTAGAGAGAAAACACGCAGGCCGTAAAGATAACGCCGGAACCAATCTAATCCATGAAACCACCCCTACGGCCCCTTGCCCACATGTGTTCCGGGAGACGTTGCCCCACGCTACCAACTCATGATGTTGGTCTCCGCAAGTTTGATGGAGATGCGAAGTTATGAACAACCTAAGTTGGTGGCAGATCGAATTACAGTCACGTGTCAACTCAGGGTGACTGGTGATCCACAGAGTCGGATGATTCCGACGGATCCCGGAGTTTGGCCATCGTTGAGGAGCCGACGAGTTTTCGGCCCTGTTTGGCTTGCGGAGGCGCCCCAGCCTTTACGGAGTAGTGGGGGGTGGTGAAGGGGCTCTCCCCCTTGATGCAATTCAGGCCATCGTTGGAGTTCGTCTTCTCGGAGTCGCTCACACGCACGGCTTCAATGGTGCCTGGTCCTGGCCCAGCAGGAAGTGAGATGCTGGTCAAATCCAACTCCCAGACACCACCAGGTACCTGGAGGGTTTGGGTAAAGCCTTAACCAGGTGTCTTGAATTTCCAGTGCTACCTTCGAAGGATCCCTTACAGGATTCCCTCAACAGGATCCCCTACAGAAGCCCCTGGAAAAAGGAACCCTTTTAGGGTTCAGGTAGGGCTTACTTGAGCTTGAGCATTCCTGACTTGTCGTTTTCCTCTAGAAGCAACGGCATTTTCAGGGTTTAGGGTTGTAGGCACAGAAGAGCGAGGTCCCGAATTGCCACTGCGCGCCTGCAAGACCGCCCAAGTTGTTTTGGATGGGGGCACCGTTCGACAGCATGTTCAAGATGTAGTATTCTGTCGCGTCTGTTAAGCTTTGGATGTACACCCGATTCCCCGGAGGGTTAAATGCACCGTTCACGCACCCAATCATCCATGATGCGCCACCGGTTGAAGGGAAGCCAAAATTCCTCATGTCTAGCACCATCAGGTCGGCAAGCTCAATCTCTGGATCCGTGTCCTTGTTCAGCGTCTGGTCGATGGTGCGCAGGTTCGGCAATGTGGGCCCCGGCGCGCCCAGACAAGGCAGATCAAGGCAGTTTGTCAACCCTTCGACACAATGGTAATCACCCGTCCATTCGTCACCACGTAGTCCCCGGTTGTTGGATCAAAGTTGGCCGCGAAAGTGCCTGACTCCAGACTTCCGAGCCAGCAGGCTGTCCCTCCACTGCAATCGAGGCACAAGAGCTGCTTCCACTAGCCGCCGCTAATTCCGCGGCAGTAGATGAAGTTGTCATTGAAGTTCAAGCCGCAGGCATTGAAATACTGGGTTTCAAAGTGCGCGCAGAATTCCGTCTATGTGCCGTCGTTAATGTCGAGTTGCTTGATATCCGAACCTTCTGCACAATTATTGTCTCCGTTGTTTCGATTGATGCTCTGCAAGGGGATGATTTCGTTGGTGCAATCGAACTTACTCGAAGTTCGGGTTTCCGTTGAGGAAGTGGTGGTTGTTTCGGTCAGAGTGGTAGAGGATGTGGTCAGCGAAGTTGTGGAGGAAACCGTCGAAGAAGTCGTTGTTAGCGTTGTGCTGCTCGTCAAGGAAGTTGTGGACGAAATTGTTGTGGAGGTTGTTGAACCCGTTGTGGTACTCGTCAAAAAATGTGGAAGTCGTCGAGACCGTCGTGGTGGTCGTCACGGTTGTGGTCGTCGTGACGGTTGTGGTCGTCGTGACAGTTGTGGTACTCGAGGAACTCGAGGTCGAGGAACTGGTCGTAGAGGAACTCGAGGTGGAGGAACTCGTCGTAGAGGAAGTTGTTGTAGAGGTCGTGCTCGTCGTCGTAGACGTGACTGTCCCAGTCGGAATATTCAAAGGTGGATCGCAGCCGGCGACAATGGAGGCCACACACAGCGGGCGCCATGCTGGCAGCCGCCGCACCGATCCCGCTGATGCCGGCGCCACAAAGGAGACTTACGTTCATGAGGTCCTCACAATTGAGAATCGAGAACTGTAGGAAGGTCACGATGTGAGCGAAGAAGGAAACGGCCCTCCCGATGTCAACGGTGCACAAAGCTTCTCGCTTTGGCAGAATCTTGTTCTGACAGTTTCCCGATCTCACTGCCGAGTTGATTGCAAGGCCCATGTTTGCGATGTTTGTGGCGACCAAGCCCACGTCCACTGCACATTGAATGTCGTTGCCTACATAGCCCTCCCCGATCAATAGCTCGCGTTCGTCCCACAAGTTCCTCCATTCGCTATATTCCTGCGTCTGATCCCCGAAAGTGCTGACGTGCCCGTCGAAGAAGTGGTGCCTGTCATGCTCATAGTCGTAACCATCATCGTGCGTTATGTTCCTGCACGAGGTTGCAGCCATCGATGAAGCCCCAGCCAACTCCCCCAAGGCACCGGCAAGTTGACCGACACCTGCGGTACAGAGCGGCCCTCGATCATTGCCCGGCAAAAGGCCATACAGGCCACCCCCCACGCTGAGAGTGTCGCATTCCGAGACCGCCGCTGCGAGCTTCGATGCCAAGTTTCCGACCCAGAAAAATTAACATGCCCGAATCAACCCGGCAGGCGTACGCGAGGTGGCGGACACGTCCGAATCATACCATTGATGTCGTCCCCGAAGGCCATGGCGCTGAAGAAAGCCTCCACGACGTTGAAGGCGGCAGGACACTTTGTTCGCTGTCTTCATGTGAATAATGCGGTTAGACTTCTTGGCCTCCAAGACGTGGTACAGCGTATTACAGCGTGTCCAAGGTTCGAAGGTGATGCTGAATCTTTTTGTCCCTCCCTTCGGCGTGCTCTAAAGCCAGCATCACCTCCTGCTTCGTGCGGGTCAGCTGCTCGCTCAAGGAAAGGACTTCCTCCACGGCCGTATCATCATGGATGGGGCGGAAGGCGAAGTAGCACATCGCCAGCCCGAGGAAGCCGAAAGCGAAGACTAAAGGAACGCTAAGCCGCTGCCGTCCTCGCCTTGCTCACCATCGCTCTCCAAATCGTCCCTCGTCACAGACGAGTAGTCCTGCGGTGTCTCCCGCATCTCTCGACATTGCACTCGGAGGGAGGATCTCTGATGCTTGAGCTAAAAAGTTGCGGGTTTTTTTCCCTCTCGCTTGGCTAAGGATCTATGCCCACAAGCGACTTAGGGTTTAGGGTTTAACCAATCAACCGATGACGATCGAAAAATAAGCGTGGCTTTGGCAGGCTGGTGACACAAAGCTAGGATGTATGATGTACATCAAGACTGCAGCCCAATTAAGGTCGAACTCTAGACAGCAGGCCTGACCGTCCACGCATAGTCCTCCAAACATTTGCGCGTAAGCCTGCACACGCGATGAAGCATGATAGTATGGGATGGGCTCATGGATTCTTTAGTTCCTATACTCTCCCTATATGGCTCGTGCGGAAAGACTATATGTACAGCAGCTTTACTTACTTATGATGAAGACAGTAGGGTATCATCCGGCTTTGTGCAGCGAGCCGACGATCAGACCAATTCGACTTCCGCTGTCTCATCTTTAGTTAGACTGGGGAATTACTGACTACTTACCTCTAACAGGCTTGCTTGGTGACAGGTTTGCTGCTGCTTCAAAGGCCGATGCAGTACATGCCGAGAACCGGGCGGGTAGGTTCCGGTAGATCAGCGCTCCTGCTTCGTTTTGCGAGATTCTCATGTTTTGCAGCTACCTGTACTGGCAGAAGTGGCCAGTTTCTCCCTCACGGGCGCTCCTTCCAGTTCGCCCACCGCGCCAATCGGCTCACCCTGGCAGAGGACAGATCCAAGCATGCATGCCAACAGGAGTAAGTCCACACCAGTGGCGGCACTGTCTGAGCCTGTGCCCAGTCACTAGCACCTTCCGTGCATGTGAAGGTGACCGGCACCTGCAGGGAGCGGAGGGATGCTCTGAGGCGGTTGGACGCATTTTAGAAGAAATTG